AGCTTACAATATCAATCTAAAATCTCAATTTTATGGCTTTTCCGGTTCCCGAGCAAGTAATTTTTGTGCTCAAGATTTCGTGCGTCTTACGTGGGGCCTCTGCGTACATGGAAGTTGAATCAGAATTTTTGGGATCGTGCTTGGGCATGAAACACTACCCCTAAAATTTCAGCATCCTATCGTTTCTGGTCTACAAATGGGCGTCGCACAAAAGTTTTCACGTGCCTGCACGAGAAACCCAAGCGTATGTGGAAACTGAATATGAAATCTGCGCACTACAACGGGCAGAAAACACACCTCTAAAATTTCAGCTTCCGACCTTTTTAGTTCCCGAGGGAATAATTCCGAATCAAAATTTTTATGTGCTAACATGTGAGAACCAGGCGTACGTTAATCTGGTTTTAAGTCCACGAAGCCACACACGGGTGCGGAACATCACCCTGAAAGTCCAACTCCCCAGCTTCCCTGAGTCCTAAGTTGAGAACCTCAGATAAACCGCACTCGGGACACACATAGGTCTAAACAATATGCATACTATGCAATTGTTGCAGCATGAAACGCACAAAAAATGACGAAATTCATACGGAATGACAATCGTTGTACCAAAAATAAAATTGCCCTGTATTCACCTTTTAGAGCAACAGAGACACCCAAAAGTAGCCCGGGTGGCAGCAAGCACCAAACAGCAATCAGCCGCTGGCAAGCCTATCGATGGCCCTCTCTTAAGAAAGTTGCTAAGAAGCAAAATGATGGCGGATTCGGTTCCTTAGCATGCGCCAGTACTAATTTACAATCGAAATAAGTGAATAAGAGCAGGCAGATTAGTTTTCGCCTGGAAGAGTCGAAAGACCGATCTTGAATACAAGAACAAAAGTATCTGCGATTATGCCATGCTCGTTAGCAATTACCTCATAGCTGCAGCAGTTATAAGTTAGGCAAAAGTAGCTTTGTTATCAGTGAAAAAATTACAAGTCCAGTAGTGTGATTATACTACTGTATGAAGCCAGACAATCTTCAATAACATTTTGTATACAGTCACGCTGTGATAGTGAAAAGAAAATCCAACCCTCTGTTCATCTTCAGTATCTGGATCTCGGAAATTCATCACGTTCTCTTCCACTGAGTTCACGCCGCTATCAGTGCTGACCCAAAAAGCGCAATCCTCGCGCAGAATTGCAGCAACTTTCTGAAAAATCATCATATTCAGATGTAAGGATGTAATTAATCTATAACTTAAAACCACACACAGCCTCTGACTTTCAGTGACACCAATAACAAATTAGCAGTCAAAACAGTAGTCAAACTGATTTACTGTGAAGGGCGCAAACACTTTAAAACAGTCAGACGGCACAGCAACGAGGCTGCTGATGGCTTCCCCTTCCGGAAATTACTTGAAAGCGAACTGATGGCAGGATTCAGCCCATAGCATGCATGAACAACAATCTATTATCCAAAAAGACAGTATCAACAGTATTTATTATCCAAAAAGACAGTATGAATCATAGACAGTATCAACTGCCACAATGGCAGAGTCGAATTTCCGCTACTACAAGGGCTCCCGACTTTCAGCGCAGGAGCATGTCATTGCTGTTGCGCTGTGCCCGTAGCTGCCCCTATGAAATGACCTGGAAATTTTGAAATTCATTGGTATCCTTGCTTGCGAAATAAGCGATTATGTTGCGTTTCGATTTATCAATTTTTTGCTCCAACTCTTCCTTATTCCCGAAACTTTTTATACTGGACGCAAGTTGCTGTTTGACAAACGTAGTGAGTGCTTCAACTGAGCGTGTCGATCTGAAATAGAGAAACATAAAATAGCATTGTATTTGCTTGGGTCAGAAACGTGGAATCAATACTCGAAAAACAAAAGACTGTCTATCATTCGAAAACTTTCAACACACATATCGTAAAAAAGATATTTTAACTATCGTCTTATCTCCATCATGGGATGAAAAATCCCACTTTTCTACTCCTGGTTTTTCTGCCGAAGGTTTCTGATCGTAGATATCATCTATGACGGTGAAACTGGACTCCGTTTCTCAACGAGGCAATTTTAAAACATACATTGAAGCGCTTTTCGGAAATAATGGCTCGAGATAGCTACTGGAGGAGATTACCTGGTGTAGACAGGAAACGATCCGATAATCTGAGATCTGTGTGTCGCATTATCACATCCTCGTCAAGCCTTACCAACTGGGCATCTTTCTCTTGGGTTGATTTACGTTTTCGAATACTCCAGTCCAAGTAATTCCTCTGATATATTTTTGTACCCACTCATAGTTACATGTCTTGATAAACAAACCGCATGTCTTGATATTACCCCGTTCTGCATCTCTCACATACTGTTTTCTTGATTCACTGACCAAACATATATACGGTTCCAAAACTTATCCCTTAACTATAGAAAGCTATTCGGATGTAATTCACGTCGAATAACTTAAGCTGCCCAGCAACATATCAGAAGCACAACAAGAATGCCCCTTCCGGTACATAGCTTCCCAGTTCAACGTAGCGCCTTCCTTATCCATCTTGTTTTCTGCTCTCGGACCAACAGTGTAGGATTCCTCTGTCAGTGATGTTACGAGGATGCTCCCACGTATCGAGCGCAGCTATGCCAGGCCCTTCGATCTTGAGCTGCATGCTTTCAGTTAGTACCCACCGCCTGCTCGATGTATGTGTATCATCTCTTTGAGGGTAGCCCAAATGGTCGTTTATTTTCTCGGGGATACTACTCATTGATGCACACCGTCCACCGGCTGTCAGCAAGGCTGCAACATGCCTTGCCCATCGGATTTTATTTTCTCGCGTGGCCACAATGATATACTGCACGACGCTCATCTGACGGAAAGTTTGACTGTTTACATGGTAGTGAAGCGACAAGCCAAGCATTCTCCACTCCATCGTTATCTCGTCACAGCCGGCGCTTGCTCTTCAGCTTCCATCAGTGACCATGTTTCGCATCCGTTTGTCACTGCCTCCAACACAGCGGTGATGAAGAAGTGGGAAACGCCCTTGTGATTCAACACTTCCGACAACTGACATCGATAAGGCTGTGGAATTTGCGCCAACTGGCAGTCTTTCGACGTGCAATCTCCGGCTAGAGATTCTGCCGCATATTTCTTGTGCGAAACAGACGTAACTATCAAATTTTTCTAAGTAATTTCGTACAGGCGCACTAGGATTTAGCATCGTCTTCGTTTTCAATGCCTTGATTTTCGGGCCTGCTTCCTTCCTTTGTGTGTTGAGCTCCTGTAGCATCCTCATTTATTTCGTTGGGGTTGATGGCAGCAAGAAATGTATTCCGCGAGGCGCAAATGATTTAGCTGCTCACCATCAATCTTCAGACCGCCCTTCCAATTCAATTTCCGAAACACCATTTCGAGGCAGGCCGTGAAAAACTTGGACGATACAGGATCATCTTGCCTTACTTCCCTCTCGACCGGCATACGGATTAGAGTGGAAAAAAGCGTTACTTTGAACAGCTTGTGTTTGCTAACTGAAGGACTTCCACACAGTTCTCGTTAATTTCTCCATCTACAACAGCCCGTAGCATTGCATTCAGCTCTGCGCTATCGCATGCTTTTTCGTAACTGACAAATAGGAGACAAAGAAGGAGATGGTACTCCCTTAAACGCCCCAGCAGCTGTTTCAGAATGAATGCGTGGCCCACCGCGCTGTTATTACTCTGTAACTAAGCTTGCTTCCTCGGCTGTTGACCACCGAGGAGTCTTGTTAGCCGGTTAATGATAATCCACGTGAACGGCTTGTAAACACAAGAAAACAAGCAGACCAGGCGTTAATTCTTCGGATCTTCCTTATCGCTCTTTTTTTGCAGCAAAACAGTTTTCGACTCTTTTCCACAGTTTTTTTTTCGACCAAATACCGACTAAATGGAATGTCGGGAGCTTCCCAAAGTTCGTCTCACCGGA